CACGTGAGTGTGACACCAGTCCCAGGGCAGGGGGTGGCGGGGGGCTCTGCCTCCGTTGCTCCTGGGGACCCGCAGCTGGGGGAGCGCTGCTGGGGGGTCTCTGTTGTGGGGTCGGCAGGCAGGGCAGTGCCCTTGGGCCACTCAGCCATGCCTGTCCCCTTCCAGGACCTCCTCAAGCACACCCCGGCCGACCACCCCGACTACCCGCTGCTCCAGGACGCCCTCCGCATCTCACAGAACTTCCTCTCCAGCATCAATGAGGACATCGATCCCCGGAGAACAGCGGTCACCACCCCCAAGGGGGAGGTGAGGCAGCGGGGAGGGCAGTGCCCAGGCACAGGGTGAGGGCTGAGCCTTCTGCCAGCCCCTGGCTGGTGTCTCCACGCTGAGGAGCTCCATGGTGCTTGGCCGGGAGATGGAGGGTTTCCTGTAAGACGGAGTCCTAGGTGCAAGGTTAGGGCTCTATCTGGTCCTTGCTGCTTGCTGGTGCCCTACTGAGAGTATGGGACCCAAAATAGCACCCAGAGGACATGGACCTTCCCATGCCCCTGTTGATTTAGCTATGGAGAGGGACAGGAGCATCTGTCCCCTGCGGTTTGTAGGCCTTTCTCCCTGCCCACTCTCACGCCAGCCCTGCTGCCCCGCAGACCCGGCAGCTTGTCAAGGATGGCTTCTTGGTGGAGCTGTCAGAGGGCTCGCGGAAGCTGCGGCACGTCTTCCTCTTCACCGACGTGCTGCTCTGTGCCAAGCTGAAGAAGGCGGCGGCGGGGTAAGGAGGGTGCTGGGCATGGGGGGAATGTGTCACGCCCCCCCCGTCCTCCAGCGGGCCGAGGGATGTGCCAGGAGGGAGGGTCAGGCATCGCTCAGTGCCCGCTCCCCGGCTGCAGGAAGCACCAGCAGTACGACTGCAAGTGGTACGTGCCCCTGGCCGACCTGGTATTCCCATCACCGGAGGAGTCGGAGCACTGCCCGCAGGTCCACGTCATCCCCGACCACGAGCTGGAGGACATGAAGATGAAGATCTCGGCCATCAAGAGCGAGGTGCAGAAGGAGGTGAGAAGAGGGTGTGGGTGGTCAGGGAGGGCGTGAGACCTGCTGCCGGGGTGGGTGCCTTCCTCTGGGGTCAGGGATGGGACATGGTGGGGTTGGGGGCACCTGTGAAAGCTCCTGTCCACTCGCCACCTGCAGAAAGCCAACAAGGGACAGAGCCGGGCCATCGAGCGCCTCAAGAAGAAGATGTTTGAGAACGAATTCTGGCTGCTCCTCAACTCGCCCGCCATCCCATTCCGCATCCACAACCGCAACGGGAAGGTGAGGAGGGTGGGCTGGGGGCCGGGGTCAGCCCTGCCTGCGCACAGCCTGCTGCATTGCCCTCTCTCTTGCAGAGCTACCTCTTCCTGCTGTCGTCCGACTATGAGAGGTCCGAGTGGAGGGAGGCCATTCAGAAACTACAGAAAAAGGGTAAGTTTGGGGCTGCCAAGGCCCTCTTGGAGCTCCTGGCCCCTCCAGGGACCATGAGGAGGTCTTGCAGGATCACAGCCTACTGGATCCCTGGGCCAGCACTGGCTGCATCCCTCTGAAGCTCCTCTCCTGTCCTCTCCCAGACCTCCAGGCCTTCGTCCTGAGCTCGCTGGAACTGCAGGTGCTCACAGGATCCTGCTTCAAGCTACGCACCGTCCACAACATCCCGGTCACCAGCAACAAGGACGGTGAGTGTCTGCTGGGCTGGTGGGTCCCTCTTTGCCTCCAGATGATGCCGGGGAGGAGCTGCGGGGTCCCTGGTCGGGGACCCTGGCTGTGCAGGGGGACAGCTACCCAGCAGGTGGCACTGCCGGAGCAGAGTCAGGCTCCCAGGCAGAGCAATCCCAGCTGCAACATGGGGCTGCTTTTGGGGTCTCTTCAGCACCCCCATGGGCTGGGCAGGACCAGGGTGTCCCCCAGGGCAAGACCCAGCCAGCCTTACTGGGAACCTCCCCCAGGGCTGCCCAGCAGCAGGAGAGCTCAGGGTGTCTGGCAGGGATGATCGGCAGCCGGGGATATGTGTCCTCTTCCAGACCTTGGGGATGGCCCTCCGGTGGGTTGGGGCCATTGGGGTGTCACTGCAGGCACCCAGTGCTCGCTATGGCAAAGGCTGCCT